ACCTCCGTCTTCTCCAGCTCGACAATAGCCCGTCTTTAAATCTGCCAGAAAATCCGTGACAATATCAATTCCTGCTGCAAATGCGCCCGCTGCCAGCCCTGTCAGAACAAGAACTATCCATATCTGACTTGAATCCAAAAGCTGTTGTACATATCCAACCAATCCTGTTGCATTCGAGTATAACGTCCGTAGCCTTTGTCTTTCTTTCGTATATTCAAAGATCCAATCAATAGCTGTCATATCCTCATATCCAACGCGTCGGCCTGGCCCCTCAACATACCAGTCCAATGGCCCTCCATCTTTAGGCGTAGGATCATGTTGTGAATTATTTGCTATTGGGTGCACTCGACCATTCCCTGGGCTTGGTGTGCTTCCTCCCGGTGATGGTGCATCATGCCGCGACTGGGATCCAGTGGTTGGTTTGGTAAATGCAGATAGAAATTTCGAAGTCGCAGGTTGTTTCTGTTTGCGCTTAAATGAGAAGTGGTTTGGGCTGTCATCGTCAAGTGGATCGTCTGCAAGTACAGCTCGGGGATCATCGTTATCGCTGTCATCTTCGGCTGAGGGATGATTTGGTGGACTGCGACTCGACGACGAATCGGGGTGTCGCCGAGTTGCGAAATAACCCGCGGATGAACTGGCCATCTTATACATTCGATAGAAATATCTGCATCTTCCGCGACAATCGTAAGTTGGAATAGCTTTGTCGTTGACTTAAGAGTCTCGAGTGCTCTAGAATCCTTCGGATCAATATTCTACCGAATTCCGACCGAAAGCTATTAATCCTAATTCCATCACTCTTCCAAAATCAAAATTTTATCTAATTCCGACGTGGATTAATGAGAGATTTTAGATATACTCTGAATCAAGCATGTCGGAACTAAAGGTCGGTGATAGCTCAAATCCTGAGCCAACGGGTCTCAGTAGCCCTGGCGCAACTTTTGAAAAAATGAAGGATCTCCTAAAGGCGAAAGACGACACTTCTAGGTTCGTGGGACTTGCTCTCCTTAAATCCGTCCTTGACAACGAACAACAGCTCGTCAAAAACACAGAACGCCTACAGATACTTTGGGAATCCATATCCTCAAAGTTTTTGGATCGACTATTGCGAGCTCAGTTTGGTGGAAAAATTGACAAGGCCCAAGCAAAAGATATGGTAGATCTCGCAGTAGCTGTGCTACATACATTCTCTATACTATTGCCAGAAGATGTTCGAAGGGGACCACAGCTCACTGGAAGAACAGGACCGCTGGTCAAAGCACTAGTTCAAAGGTAACACTCCAACTATTCGGATGTGAATCACGTGCTAAGGCCACCTAGTTCCCCAGAAACTGCACAGCTTATTCTCCAAACGCTGTTAACTATAGTCAGTCAGGTAGAAGGATCTTTAGAACTTTTGAAGATTGAGGATCTCTCCTCATTGACAGAGATAGCGCCACAATACCCTCTTGTTCTCGACATTTTAAACTACACGTGGGCAAATGGTTCTACGATCGAAGTACAAGCTGTCCATGAAAGTATCAATCGAGTGATTCCAAATCTCCTTGTAGTATTCAAAGGAACTGATGCTGTTACATTTTTATCTTTTATTTCAAGCTTTATACCCAAATTAACTTCCGAGGTAAATCAGACTTCCCCTACTCAGTACCGAGTCTAACATGTTTTAGGCGCTTCCACTTAATCCAAAGTGGCTTAAGTCTGTAATTGTCTTGCTTCGCGAGTTAGTAAACAGGAAACCCACACTTGCTGGTAGAGTTGCATATACCCAGGCGGCAGCGGCATTGCTACAAGCATACCCTGTGACATGTCCTTCATTGTTGTTCAACGATGATAATCTGCATATCTCGAACAAGAATGAAAGCAATAGCAAGCCGTTTTCTTATTTATTTGTAAACCTTTTATTGATTGACTTGCGATCATCCTTTCCGTCACTCTTAGCGAAATTGAATAATAGTGATTATTCAAATATCTCGCAACGACTTGCAGCTGCATTTGATGTTCTCTCAAATTTCATAGGATATCTTGTTCGAAGTCTCGATGAGGAAAATTCCAAATCCTTCACCATGCCCCCAGATTTAATGTTAAAGTTGCGAAAGGGTATTGCCGAGACTATGTCCTTGGCAATTGAATACCTGCGAGATAGATGGGACGCATCTATTGCCGGTACTTCCGGATTACATCCTTCTGCACGAGTTGGAACCGCTGCCACATCTGAAGGAACAAGACTCACTTTAACCTGGGATTCTATTCAAGACAAGGTTACTGCGGACCCCCTGATTCTAGCGAGTATCAGAGCATTAGCCATATGGATCTGTGAGGATGAGAATGAGAATCTACGCAAAGAAAGTGCTGGTATGATGGATATGTTCATTGAGCTATACAAAATGAGTAATGAGGATGAGCCTGACTTCAGATACCCTATATTACTAGCACTTGAAGGGATTATGACCAATGAGGATGGCGTGGAAGCTTTCCTGAATCATGATGGATGGCAAGTAGTTTCCGAAGATCTCCTCAGTATTCTTAGCCATATTGCCGATACCACACTACCCACCAATCCCCAATCTTCCATAATCGCAGAAGCAGCAAGAGGTCTTCAGATCGTACGCATTCTACTCGCTGTCATAGATGAAGAGTCAACATCATATATCAAACAGGAATGGTTGACTCTGATCTCAAACACATCTGCTATAAAACTACCTGCATCATCATCGTTTTCGGTGGTCATAGAGCTACATATTGCGATGCTACAACTATCCACAGCATTGCTATCAAAAGCAGGAGATGGCATGCGAAAGCGTTACGCGAATGATCAAGGAGCTCAAAGAAAAATGGTAGAGGAATTAGAGGTCATTGTAGGAAAGATGGGAGATAAACAGGAGGCGGATGAGTTCAAAGAGTTACTATCAGACGTATTGTTAGATTTGGATAATCTGGGTGTAGGTAGATGATCATTGATATTTTTAGAAGTGAGTTTAGAATGAAGTATGGTCTCTACTTTATGGATATTATGGCAATATTAGCAAGTCTTTAGGGACTTAATGTCCACGACAGACTATCAATTTTCTGCACCTCTAGGTTAATCATAAGAAAACCATTATCAGCCCCATTTCAACCTTCTTTGCCTTACTTTTCTGCCCCCGTCCCCCTTCTCCGCCCAGTAGTTGTCTCATCTTCCAATTCATGGGAGCAAAATCTATATACACTACCCCTTACTCAAACCTTGGAAAGATTTGGAGTCTTCTCTCGTTTCTCCACTTTACAATACAGAAAGAAAGCTTAAGAGTTTAAGCCAAAGTCCGTTTTTTATTGGTTGTAATAATCAAGCATTCGTGTGATCGACTTAACAGTTTCTTGATGCGGATATCCGGATCTACAAGTAAGTTCTCATGCTGTCGTACCAAAATTGAAGAGCCCCTCTCATATGCACGCTTGCTATCCGCATGTTACTTTGTTACGGTATGATGACTTGATTTTACCTTTTCACTATTTCTCTACACCAGTTCAAGCGAAGTTTCAAGACTTCAGTGAGATCGAGAAAAGATTACTCGCCAGAATATCAGGTTAAATTGTTTTTATTAGATGGAAAGTCCAAATTTCGTTGTCGTCCGCGGTGCAAATTTCTACTGAAAACATACAATCCCAACTCGAACTCTTGTATAGGGTTTCTGATCACGTCTATCGACGCATAACTGATATTTTAAATCTTGCATGTGAAGTGTAACACTGATAACAGATACCGGAACTGATCTCGGTGTACGATCTAGTTTATGGAGGTCCTCGTGGCTTCTGCTTGAGGAACAAAAATGTTGTGTATATGAGCGCGGGCAGAAGAGCGGAACAGACGTTGGAGGAGAGTCAGAACGAAAAGTTCGCATGAGAGAATCGGATGGACTTGGGCGACAAATACATTTTGGTTGGATTAAGCTCTTTGGTATTTTAATCTTTCATATTAAAGATCTTTCTTCATCTCTCCAGTGCGATATTTTGGTTGTTTATATTCAAGATCGTGAACAAGTCCAGTCATTGTCTCAATGAACTGATCAGCTACTAGTACGTAATATTTCTATGGTATGATAACAGTTTTCGTCCTCATCGGTGGCAACTAAGATTCTTTGCGCCATACAAAAACATTACAAGATCCCCAGGCCATTTGTACTCTTCGCATCTGGCCATAGTCACATCGTCTAAAACAAACATGTCCAATTCTGCCACGAGGATCATAACACTTAAACGGCAAAGCGTTCCGAGCCATTCATCATGCTGTGACAAGTTCATTGGGAAATGCAAGTTCACTTCCCCGGATGAGTTGACACTCTCGGGTATTTGCAGAAGTCAGAATACTACAGTCCATGCGTCTTTTCGTCAAGTAAATTAGATGTCACTTAAGCTTGAGAATATCTCTCACGATGTAAATTGAGCCGCGACATAACGAAAAATTCACTTGGATCTCTTTGCAAAGGTTTCATCTTGCTTCTATCATGGGACTTACAAAGAAAACATTGGTTACCAGTCATTCAACGCACATTCTGAGTTGCACAGCACTCGTATCCTCGCTGCGTCTGACAATGGTGCGATGTAACTTCAATGCACAATCATCGTCGAGTAATATACATTTATGATGTAAACCAGGGTTGTCGATAACATCTGAATTTGAATTATAGAGAAGTAAGCATAGCGATATTCAGAGTCTCAGGATCCTGATTCTGCAAAATGGTATATCCTGCACAATCAAGAGAACTTCAAATCGAACACTGAGCTTCATCTTATGCATCTATCCGAAAGAAATCTTGATTTTGTATCCTTCATGAGTGTTCCACGATGGGATGATCGCTTCGACATTGTGACAATCAGGAATATTGAATACTCCGATTCGAGGATCTTAGTTGGTCGTACGAAATGGATTCTTGTATTAAAAGAGAGATATTTCTTCTTATAAAGATTGGGATCCCTTTATCATTATCATTAACGTTGTCAAAGTTTCTAATTCGATCTCAAATATGCATCTCCAAAAATTCCTCGTCATTCTCTCTTCCCTCACTGTCGTTGGATTTTCAGCTCCAGTAGTTTCACAAGGTATGTAAGGGGGTTTTCCTATCCTATTTCTTAGCACCTGGATAACAGCACATAACTCACAAATAACAGAAGAAAACTTCGAAATCACCGAATACAGTGAACCTAAAGCTCTAATCCTTGCCCAACATAGCTCCTCGCCCAAAACTCACTACATCTCACCCATCACCGAAAGCAATGCAGCCGCAGCTACAGACAAAACCATCGAGCGAGCTCTCGGTCGCAAAAACCTCGACGAACCCCTCGAAATTCTCGTCCCAACATCTATATCAAAGCAGAAAAAGCGCGGAGACGACACCATCGTCTGGGTTCCACCACCACCAACTTCGAAAATTCCTCTAGCACGTGGAGATGCAACTGTGGTTTGGGTTCAACCTCCACCTACGTCGAAGATTCCTGTGTGATTGATCTAGATGACTGTTTGCTGGATCTGTGTCGATTTTGGAAATGGGGTATTAGTGGATTGGGAGGAAGGAGAGCCGTGAGATGGAGAACTATAATGTTATAAAACTTGAGGTTTCGATCGAAACTCGGCAAGTCATCGATGGGATCTTGCACTTGCGGATATGGGAAGATTGTTTCGATTCAAGATGTGCTCTGCCCGTATTCAATGGCCACGGTTTGAGAATTGTTTCTTTGTATCTCAGTTGTAAGATTGGTACAGCGATGAACTTCCTAGGAAATGAGTGGGGAAACAACAATGATTGGACTCGATTTCTTAGATATCCCAATACTTTCCTAAAGTGAAGCCACACTCATCTTACTATGCAGAAATCGTTTGAGTTTCTTCAACGATGTGATATCTTGTTCTGAAAAGTGATCGGATCATCATATAGAACGTTGGAAGATCCTTCCATTGAATCCATGAATCGAAGTGAAGCATCAACCTACTTTGTGAATCACGTGGGCTATTAAATGGACTGCCATCGATGAATCATCAGAGAGGTAGCTTCAAAGTTAAAATCTTTTTTTTAGACACAATACCATTAGCTAGCAATGATCATGACCCTGTGTAGAATATTGGCAGTAGAATTATTGGAAATCGTCATCATATAATATTCATGATATTGTATTCCATATTGGTATAATAAAGACATTATATCTTCGCTCGTGAGACCTTTCCAAAAACTCCTCGCTAAAATTTCGATAGTGTCCGAATAAACATACATCCCATATTTTCTCCAAACCCATATTCTCATCACAGTGATTCTCCCAGATCACTCTTCATCAAGTAAAATCAAGAATGCCACTAGCTTCTATCCAAATCAGCCTTTCTGAACCCCGCCAAAACTTTTTGCCCCACCCCTTTCTTAGGCGGTAACACGTCCTCTCCTCTTCTCACTACCGGCTGTGGATACGTTGGCTGAGCTACCGTTGGAGTTTCTTGCACGGGTTGTAACGCTGTACTACCACTTCTGCTCGACTTGTTATCCTTCAAAGAACTTGAGCCTGCTCTTTTCGGCGAATCTACATGCGTACTCGAACTCGAGCTCCTCGCTTCCACAGGCAAACTCGGTTGTCTATGATCCTCGCCCTTACCCAGCAACTTCTTCGGTAAACTTGGTACACTCTTCCAGCTCTTCTTGATCTCTTCATTTTCTTCTCTATCCTTTTCCTCATCTCTCCTCTTTCTAATTTCCGGATCTACTTCTCCTCTTTCCTCTGCTTCTTTAAGTCTTCGGGTGTTTATCGTTTCGATAGCTTCAGAAGTGAGTTCTTGCTTCATCATTTTTTCAATTACGTCATGTTTGCGTGTACGCTTGTCGCCCATGGATATTAGAACTCCTCCCATGATGTTGCAAGTGATACTACAGCATAGAATGACTGTCGTGAGGGCGAATGGTCGAGTTTTGTAAGAAATTCCCCATGTGCATGCACCCAAGGTGATTTGAAGACAAGAATGTAAATCGAGTAATAAGACGACGGCAAAAAGTAACTTCAAAGGGAATGCGTAATGGGTCTCTGTCTCGTGTGGCTTGTAGAATGTGTGACTTTTGGAGAATTTTCGTTCGTGGTATTCGAGGACACTCTGCTCTTCTGGCGAGAGGACGGTATATTCGTAGTTTGGTTGTACTTCTATTTGATTGCGAGCGACCATTCTATCGGCGTACCTCTTCGGTATGCGTGGCGCAATTCTACGTGCGAAACTGTTGGGCATTCGACGGGCGCATAGACTCTCGATATCGACTTTAGGAGGTGGAGCAATATCTTCCTTGCGTTGTTCTGGGAGATCGTTATGGTCCCATAGCTCTGGGAGACCGAGCTTTTCGCGACGCTTCCAAGTTTTGCGGTGATAGTGTGCTATATAGGCCATGTGGTAGGTATCAACTGCACGGAAAGGAGCTAGACCATCACCAATGATTGCGAAAAGAGCAACGAGTACATTATCAACAATGTTGACAATATAAGCTTTTCGAGAACCGAGGGATATCCAGCCGATGAGAAAGAGTACCCAGGCCGCACCGAATAACGTGATCAAGGTTGCGTAAACTGTGATGAATAGTCCCAAAGCTACATAAATAAAGTTAGTCAAAAGCGGACCTATAGTAAAAAGTCAACTCACGCCTGCGAACATACTGTCCAAATCCTTTCATTGAACGCTTGAATTTCGCTCGTCGGGAATGAAGTTGATGTCTAACGAGATCATCTAGCTCATCCACCTCGGCGGGCGTCCAGCCACCAAGCCTTTCTCCATCAGGCAAAACGGCATACTCTAATTTTGGCGGTTTCCATGAATCACCATCCACTTGTTTTTCTGGACTACGTAGATTCTTCAACTTTGCTTTGATCTTATCAATCGTACGTACTTCTCCCGGGCGTTCTGAAAGTTTATATGTTGGCTGACGATTAACGAAACCTCCCATTTGAGGCACGAAGAGGGAATTTTGAACATTGGTAAGAGTGGAGAGAGTAGATATTTCAGGATCTGCAGAGAGTCAGTCTAGTAGCTGAAAATCTGGTATGGCTGTACATACCCACAACATCTAGCAAATCTACCATATCAGGGTCACATTCATGCTCATAAGATTCGGGTTCTTTGGAGTATTCCCCTCGACCAAATAGCGATCGAAAGCGGTTGGTAAATGCATTCCCTTGCGATGGAAGAGGGTGGTTTGCCGCTTGAGTCGCGGATTGTTCTGAAAGTCCTGCGCAATTTTGCTGAGGGGTTCCATGAGATAACGGAGTGGAGGTAGATTTCTCAGAAAAGTCCCTTGTTGAGGGTACATTTCGTGATTCGGCAGTCGACGAGTCGCGATAGATACGAATGGTAGGCCGTTGGTGTGTAGTCAGAACGGACTTTACTTTTCTACCGACTGCAACAATCGGATTTTCAGTTGTCGAAGACGACGGCGAAGACTGTGGCGAGTCTTGATGAGCCATTCTGAGGTTGCTTTCTTCGATTTGCTGTTTGTTACTCCATACGACGAAGATCTGGTAAAGTTGTTGTAGCAGCACGAGTTTGTGGGTTTAAACTCATTAACTGAAATCACAGAATGCACTCAAAGCCAACGCCCTCTTCAAATGTTTAAGTCTCGAAAGATAGGCGATTAAATATAGAGGAGAGTACCACAGATTGAATTCAGGGTCCAATGGACCTACTCATGTAGTGCTATCTATACATTTGTGAGGTTGCACAGGGGTGCGACCCTGTTTTGGGTCGACGATGTCATTTTGCAGGTAAAATTGCAGTAAATATTGTAGCGCGACAGAGGTCACATCCTAGGGGTGATCTGTTGGCAAAGTTCCAAAATACCTTGGAACAGGATTCGTAGATGGCAGGGCTACTGAGCTCTGATTGGCCAAAGTTCAACAAACTACGGGAGCACAAAGCAGGTTTCTTGAAAATACATGAGGAAATGAGGAAATAGAAAAACCAACAACAAACATCTCAAATATACAAAGATGATGCAGAATGGATATGCACAGAGGGGAGGAAATGGCGACATATCAAGGTAAAAAATGGTGTATCAATTCTACAAATGATGACCAGCTAAAACCGATGTTGAGAAAATTGAAAGTTGGAGATGAATGCGAGTCAATTTCATCTACAGAGTTAGCTTACATTATTACAAATCGCTTGAGAAAGCCCCTGGTGGCCCACCCAAAGCGACCCAGGTCACGTGTCGGATATCATTCAATCATTTGTGTGATGGATGTGCCACATACTTCGTACACAGATTTCACATTCATCCTCCGTTGACCATTATACGGTAAGTACCACATTGCATATGCATTGTAAACCATTAAACAGTATCCACCACATTGCATATACATTGTACACAGAGCCCAGAGGACTTGAAACGAGGTCAGCCTACAGTAAAGCGTACTCAAGCCTCCAGCTTCCCGACGTCTTCCCAAGTAGTGTGGCTATGTGGGAAACCCAACGCAGCTACCAATTCGACATGACACGCATGGATTTGTCTGTCGCATTTCCACTGCAAGAATTTCCACTTCCGTTCCATCTCTCCTTTCATTCGTAGTTCGTCGGGACTCGGGTGAGATCACGCCTGCTAGTCATCCATTCACTCGTTTCATATCGGATGGTGGATAATGGTTGATCTGACATCTGTCCGCATGTACAGAGTAAGAAGTCGGATACCCCATTTCCTGGCCGGTCAGAAAGTAGAGCGTTCAACTTATGTGCCTGATCAACAGAACAAGTCCCACCTTCTTTTTTGACAACACTACGGAGGTTGACGGCGTAAGTATTGTAAAACACACCAAAAAGTGACCTAGCTTTTCCCCATTTTTATCAATTGAGCCAATCATACCATCACGCTGGTTGAAAATCTATATGGTGAACTCTACTCGTAGGTGGTGAAAGTATTGTAACTTTCATTTAATCCTAGCGGAATCATTTAAATTCATCAAAATGTGTAGTTTTTTCATCAGAAATTCTATTCTAAGTCTAGTTAGAACCAATAGAAACTTTCAAGGCTTCAAAGCTTTCGAATCATAAAAAATGAAAAAGGTAATGAACTACAGCAGCATGGGAATTTCGTAATGTGAGGGACGGGGGAGCTGAAGAAAAGATGTTGAAGTAAATTATAGTCTTTGATGCGTAACTAAAAGGAAGCTGGAAGCGAAGGTTTCAACTTATAGGAAGAGGACTAGCTAAAGAGGCTACTTTAACCGGTCACGTGCCTCACGAGGGTCTGTGCGCCCTCACACGTCAAACAGGTAAAAATGAGGCTTATAAGACTTATCCTATCAACCTCTGTACGATGTACTCATGCTGTTAGAAAGTACATAAAGTTGTAAACTACAACGTGATTGATTAATAGCCCATGTCTAGGTGGAGTGTTACATACTTTCTAATCGCACGAGTATCATTTTGAGATTGAATAATAATATAGTAAGAGCTAATTTAGATATTAATTTCGATTAGAATTCGTTAAACTTTTCGCTTTTTTTTATTATAGCGGATTTCGCGGTAGTAATTTTTTATTCTTTATTTTTAAAAAGATAGATTTTCATATTTCGTCTTCTTATTTATATATCGATTTCGATATAAATTCTATAGAAATAAGAGAAAGTAGAGTATATATATATATTTTTAAATAGGAGAAATTCGAATTTTTAGTATATAGATATTCTAAGCTTATTATTACTATTTGAATAATTAAATAAGCGAATGTAGAGATAGCTTTAATTTAATTAAAATCTAAATTTTAATTTAAAAGAGTTTAAAGCTTTAGACTTATATAGTTTAAAGTTTTAGACTATAAATCTATGAATTTTTTAACTAACTGAAAACGATAATTATTTTTTCTGATTAGTATTTTCGATCTGCGTTTTTTATTTTTCTATATAAATTAATGGAAATATAGATCGAAATACGAATTGAATCTAAGGTTTTAGAAAGCCTGTAAAATATTCTATTAATTTATGAACATTTATATTAAATCTGTAATTTAATATTCAAACAGAAATCAGGAATTCGTTGTCAAAATGCATTCAAACTAGCCCTAAACGTTGTGAATTATAGATTACACGCCTACGAACATTGGAATTCAGTCCAGATTTTCAAAGTTTTGACAATTGGATAGAATAATAATCAGCATTAAAGCTCTCGTTGTGTCTTTTGATGTATCCTTTGCATCCGCAACGGGTGAGTGGAGATAATAGTAAGGCTGTATGCTCAAAACCACCATGTCTAAAGCCATCCCACGAATGTGATGCCAATATCAAGAGCTATATCTTTCCAGTTGGTCGGAAAGCAGTAATTTAATCCCAGTCAAGTCTCTTCGGTGCGAAGTGGTGAGCAATGATTTGTGGCAGAGCTACGACTTAAGAAGGCTGGAACAGTATTATCTCTATATAAGTTCCTTCCCGCCCGCTTTTCTTTTCTTTTCTTTTCTTTTCTTGTAAATTGGGCACACGTACAAAAGAATCAATATCATTAGCTGTCTCTAAGTAAACACAATCATTTCATAGAGCTATCGTTTTCTCTTGCGCCACATTGCCATCATCGCCATCATGCGTCAGTAAAGAACTTCTCAACCTGCCATATACTAGCAATGGAACTTCACGTCTACTCCACATCTAACAAGTCTGTCTAGTTGCCATCGACAATACCATCGCTATATGCTTTGGTCTGACTAGTGTTCTCCTTGCGATTCTTTCTCTCTATATCATGTGCAAACCACGAACCACACCAGGTACGCGACGAATCATCAAATGTTCTAGAATACAACGGCTGATTGACTAGACATGCCAGAGCCCGATCTTGAGTCGGGACTACGGAATACAAGCCTACCCTTGATTCGAGCAAACTCAATCTCAGCTTCTTCCAGCCTTCCCGGTAGAGCACCTTCAATCCCTGAATATTCTAGTCTTCCTGGTGGGACTCATTTCTCGGTGCACAATGAAATCTCCAACAACCCACGTTCAATAAGAGCCACCCTTCAACGTGCGACAAATCAATTTCAAGATTTCGCTGTGTTTGTTCCGGCTTTGACATTTACCACAGTGGAACCTCCCCCTAAACCTACGATCGAGCTCTATCAATTAACGCACTCGGCGAGGTTTATATCATATAATCAGAGTTGGGGTTGACATTTGAGGCAGGGCACGGTAGACCTTTCAACAGTGACTCAACAGTTAGAATTATTGATGGGTGTATGAATTCCCATGGTGGCATTAGTGGAACTATTGTTTAGAACGGATGCGATAAAATATTGCACCGGGGCATGAGACGGCGCTGACATTTTACACAAAATTGGATGATTATGTTTTGATACATTGTTGAGACGCTTTCATTTATTGGGAATCTGGTAGTAGCGGTTAGAAGATAAATGGCAAAAGACTCGCAGGCGTGTCCGCCTTATTCGACGAGGAACAGAGATAGTTTTCGAAAAGAATGACATTGTATATCGGTGCAGAATTGATTCCAACAATTCATATTTATATCTGTATAGTTCTGATCTTTTCACAGTATTTGGCAATGAAAATAGTTTCGCAAGGGCCAACGAGAAACCGAGGGGTTCTAGGCCCATGACGTATAGGTTAGGTTATGGACCCCATAAACGAGCCACAGACCGCTAGTTCCCGCGGCAGGTGCTTAATGGTCGGGTATGGCTTATGCTGGTATAAAGCTTAGGTTACCCGCTAAGAAGATCCACAGGTACGCTATGAGATTATATTCGCACGTGTATAAGGTTAATAATCCAAATCTAATGAATAAGTTTTCTATAAGTTAATAGTTATCTTAACTTAGTTATCTGATTCTACAAACTCAAGTCATGTAATACATCAGGTCGAATTCAACAATTACCAACCATTTGTCTGTCACATCTAAATTCACATCGCGTAAGAATCAAGAGTCAAAAAAGTCTATTGTGAGATGTCAGACTTAATCATGAGCGGAGTGTTTATGGATGGATTGGGTCTAGATTCATATAACTTGGCGCCGGCGAGGTGAGATTGTCTAGTAACAAGGTAACGCATTTGTCTGTCTGATTATCTCCAGAACAATACTTTGTGTTACGACCGCTAGTAATATATCTATCTACATTCATACGACTCACGAATGTCAGGCCATCTACTCCGGAACGCTTTATCTCGTCTGCGAGTTTGATTACAAGACCACATTCATATTTATATACATAGAATCAAAGGTTTGTGTGTCTTAGACATGTCATGGCATCCTATAAATAAATAAAAAGTCGTCCAAAAAGTGACGTCGGTATAGATTCAAATCACGACACTCGTATCACACCAGACTAAATTTAATGCACAGTCGCCGCACCCGACCTCTGCAACGTCTTTGGCAACAATGGTTGAATAACATTCAACCAAACAGTCGTATACAATCTATCATCAATTAGCACATCAATCACCCACCCAACAGATATAAAAACTCACCCAGGACTTCCATCCGCAGCCAGACTCCCCGGTTCCAAACTTCCCCACTGCTGCGAATCCGCACAACAAGGCGAGTTTGTTCCCCAAAAGGGTCCAGCGGCCCAAGCTGTCCATCCGATATACTCCTTATTCTGCGCCATGTAATCAACAATTCCTTTAATGTACGGCGCGCATTCTGTACCGTTCGCACCACCAAATTCGGTGATCATGGCTTTGAGATTGTAGGCTTTGAGCCAAGCGGTTAGAGGAGCGAGAAGTTCTGGAGCGGGAGATGCACAGACGGAGTGGCCGCCTGAGAAATCAACATCCAGGTATTCGTGGATGTCGATTGCAGTGTTCTTGAGGGGGTCCTGGAGGGTTTGCATCAGGGCGCTGGATGGGTCGCTGCCTTCGGTCCATGCATGACCTCCTGTCCAGGAGTTTCCTGGTGCCAAGATCCTGGACTTCCGATTAGTTATGATCTCGATTGTATTGGAATAATTGGATTACTCACAAATTCTTAGCACCGGCCTTACGGATCGCAGTGATAGCAGCTTGATCATTTGCAACTACCAAACTCGTGGGCATATCATGGGGCTAAATCTTTCGTTAGATATAATTATTTTCTTCCATGGGTGTCGATCGCAAGAGAAGGCATTGTGAAGGATATAAAATATCAACTAACCTCATTCATCAACCCAAAAATAACTTTCGTATTACCCTTAAATCTCTTCGCCATCTCTCCCCAAAAAGCAGCAAACTGTGCCGTAGTTGCAGCTTTCGGATCCGTCGTGTTACCAATCACAGATCCCGAGAAAGGTTGAGAAGAAGGATCATTGTATCGCATATAGTTGTGAGGATCTAGTATAGCATATGCAGATTTGGTTTGAGTGATGTAGTTAATTGCATCCGCGTAGTAGGAGTAATGCTAATTTAGACGTGAGCTCGGCTCATGATGAAGGGGGTTGGAGATACTTACTGTTTCGTTGAATGTAGCACCTAGACCGGTAGCGGGGGGACACATTCGCTCGAGTAGGAATGCTACTCGGAATAAATTTACCTGGAAAGCTGTTAGCTTTTCTCAATCCTCGGTGGAGTATCTTCTTTACAACCATTGGAAACGTATCAGGACATCAACATACCTTATTCTTATCCACGTAAACATCAATGGCAGCTTTGTTAATGAAAGCATAATCTTGTCCAAACACTCCCGGTAATCCTGTTCCCACAGTACCCGTTCCACCTATTTGATATTAGCATTAGACCGACCAAGTTCAACATAACCTAGATTATCTCTAGATCATGAAGAATAAATTAACGATAAAAGAAACACATACTATAAACTCCGAATTCTCCACCACTCTCGGCTACTCCCGCATAGTAAATCGTAGCATCCACCGAAGCAACAAAGGCTCCAATCGCAGAGATGAAACTTTTCAAAAGCATGATTGATTATCTCTTTTCTCGAATCACGTCGACTTGAGATCCAAAAGTAAAAAAACACACAATACGAATAGCAAAAAAGAGAACCGATTCTTCAACACAACATCTCTATATACCCCAACCCCCCTGAAGACCCTAAAGGAACCTCTCCCACAAAGCCGAAAAGATGCATGCCGAATAGTACCGCAATAAAGAAAATATCCAACTCATCCCTAACCCCTGTTCCTCCATCCCCTCTCATCCTCAAAAAATCCACCTGATCAGGAACCCCCACGAGACGATTGGTCCACGGAGAAATTCCACCTCCAAAATCTTCAAAGTACAACTTACTGTACTCAGGGGTTAATCGGAGGCTCGGGCCGCCTATTAATAAACTAATTTCTGGGGACCCCACACGGGAGATGTCACTCCGCGATTGACATTTGCCGGAATGGGGATGAAGAACCGGGTAGGATGAGATGTTTTGTGGATTTTTGATTGAGAGGCTCCACTGAGAGGTAATCTTTTGACTTGTTTGGACTTCTTTAGACCACTCTGTACTTTCTTTAATTTACAAGAACGTCAGCCAAGAGAGTTTAGATAGTAATCAAAGAGTCTTGGCGATAACCCTTGTATTGCGTGCTTGTGTGTGATTTGAGTATATTTCTCTTCATTGCAATGAGGATATGGGCGATTTGATGATGGATGTTGAGAGTTAAGCAATTGTGGCTTCGCTAACTATAAAGCAGTGACCTCAAAAGGCTTCAGGTAGTGTGAACCACTGCAGCAGTCAGCAGCTTCAGTGGATGTAGGTATCTATTCTATGCGGATCATATAGCACAAATCAATAGAATAATGAGTTGAACGCTAAGAAACTTATATTAATGCTATTAACAATCTCAAAGAGCATCCATGTATTAAGCCCCTTAAAAGAACAAGACTCAAAAAGAAACCGATGATATACAAAAGCCAAAGAAACAACCAAAGAAACCAGACAGTGAATAAAGACACCCCCTCGACTTTCCCCCTCGCAATTTTCTCGGCATTACCTCTTCATCTCCACCAGCTTCAAGTCAAACACTTTCTCTTTCCCTTCCCCTCTCATGGTTATGACTATGACCCGAGAATCCCCAAATACTACTAATCTTCCTCAACATATTCGAATGTTGTCTCTTTCCCTCTTCCATCGTCATGAACTTAAAACTCTCAGGTCTCTTCCAAACACCCAACTCATCATCTTTCTCACCCTTTTCGCCCTTCTTAACACCCCATTTGTCAATACCCTGAAGTAGCTTCACAGCCTCTTTCCACGCATTTTCACTCTCAAACTCTTGTTCTATCTGTCTCCAAAGATCGACGTACACACTTACATCTTTATCCCACGTGCCCTTCCTCCAATAAGCTCTCTTCAATAACTCTAATTGGGCAATGGCAATGATGCATGCTTTGTCCCTAGGTAACTCATCACCGGCATCGGAGACGGTACTGCGAAGTATGTCTTCATGAATAAGCATTGCTTTTCTGAGATCTGGATGGGGAGATGCGGTATAGAATGCAGAGAGTAGGTTCTGCATCTCGAGAGTGGTGGAATCAAGTGGACCCCATACACGACGGATGTTGTAACACATATCTTCGAGGAGATTGGTAGCTTGGTCTTGATGACCGCTGGAGAATTGCGTTTCGACGAGGAGGCGGCCAATATGCACGATTGTAGACGAAGACCAAGAGAGTTGCGAGTGACGGGAATTCCAGAGCTGGGTAAGGAGCCACTGTGATTTATTGTTAGTATTGATACAAAATGATGGATCAGGGAGGAAGTGTGCTTACCTCAAGAGCTTCTAAGTCTTGAATTTCTCCAAGCAGGCCGCATACACTATTTAGCTGTTCAATTGGCAAATCCACAATCTGAAGTTTACCCGTGCGGAATCGCTGGATGATTTGTTTCATGATTGATCCGGACAGAGCCACCGAAGAGGCGCGAAGCTGAGCATCAGTGATGTGCTTAGCTCTATTGCCAACCAGCACTTGCGCTAGGCGTAGACCCATATCTATTTTAGGCAGAGTATCATAGCCCCCATAGAATTTCTGAAAGCGATCGACGTATTCAGCAAGCTCTTGCCCCTCTGCAAATTTGCCTTTGCTCATATATACGCTGGTCGTATCCAGACCTGCTCGCAGGACAGAGATCTCAGCTTCTCCTTCATTGAGGTTTACAAGTACGATGTGCAAGAATTCGAGAAGAGTATTGCTTTTCAAGTTCTTCTTGACATCCAAGTTGGCTGCGAAGTATTCGAGGATAGATTTATTGGCAATCTCCAGTCCAGCATCATCTTCGACATCCATCAAGAATGCAAGGAGTCTGGAAGCATATGAGAGAACAGTTGTGAAGAACATCTTTTGACTGATCGAGCGCTGATACATTTGGTATAAGAAGACTTCCATGAACAAGTCTGCCATGATTGATGAGTAGAGCTCCTTTCTTCCAGTGACAGTTGACTCAAAGGCAACCAGGAAAACCCAAGTATAGCTCTCCAGCTTGAACTTCGGGTCAATTTTCAGATTGGACTGGGAGAAAATTGCCTGTGAGCGCAATTGCTTCGTC